GTGTCCACACAGGACAGCTTGAGCAGAGCAGGGACTTCACAGAAGAAGTGATCCACTTCCTTGTGACCACACCGTGGCATCTGAAGGGTCCACGTGGACTGTAATACTGAGTTGCTGAAGCCACTGATCCAACATGCAGCGGCCAACTGGAGGCAGAGCCTTTGGTGCATGATGACCGAGTAATGGAGAGGCCGACAGATGGCTACAAACCTGTCAAAGGACATGACGCCCAGGAGAAAACATTCCGTGCAACCCAAGGCCAGGAAAATGAAAAGCTGGGCCACGCAGCCACTGTAGCTAATCACCTTCCTGGTGCTGCGGATGTTTATGAGCATCTGGGGAACTGTACTTGTGGTATAGCAGAGGTCCAGGAGGGAGAGGTTGGTAAGAAAAAAGTACATGGGGGTGTGGAGTTTGGCATCCAGGCGGGACACAAGAATTATCGCCATATTGCCAAAGATTGTAAAGATATAGGCAAACAGAAGTGTGGCAAAGAGGGGCAGCTCTAGCCATGGCCGATCTGAAAACCCCAAGAGAATGAACTCCTGTGGACTGCTGCCATTCACCCGACTCATGTTAAACGGTGCAGCCCTTGGTTCCCTGAAACGCAAAACATCAATAAGTTAATGAACACTTTTTAAAATAGAACATAGTTTACTCTTGATATTTCATACATGTAAAGACACAATGCTTCATGATCATATGCACCCCCAACTCCCTCCTCCAGCTTCCCCAGGAAACTGCAGCTCGTTCATTGCCTCTAGGCACTCCATCACATCCCCGCTTCATGTCCTCTCCTTTCTTTATTCTGGTTAATAACACACTGAGTCCAATTAGTGCTGCCCATTGGAACGTGAACTGGTCCTGGTTTGACCTTGTCCAGGTTTCTGTAGGGCAGTGAGTTCGTGGTACCCAGTCATGCCATATCCAGAAGGCAGAGTTTCACACACTTCTCCCCATACTCCAGCTCCTACATTCTTTCCATCCCCAATTCTACCATGTTCCCTGAGCCTTGGAGGAGGCCTCTATATAAATGTCCCATTCAGGGCAGAATAGTCAACAGTCACTTATTCTCAGCACTTTGACAGGTTATAAACATGTTTTGACCATATCAGTTAGTTCCAAACTCATTCTGCTACAGCTTTTCATAAATTAAAAAACTGATCCTGTTAATTTGAGAGAACGTATTTTTAAAATATGTTTCTGCCAGGTGTGGTGGCACACGCCTTTAATCCCAGCATTCAAGAGGGAGAGGTAGGTGAATCTCTGTGACATCAAGGCCAACCTGGTCTACATAGTGAGTTCTAGATCAGCCAAGGCTACAGAGAGGTCCTGCCTTAAAACAGAAACAAAACAAATATATATGTACATATATATATATGTATATATATATATTTCTGTCCAAATCACTTAGAATTATGTATCTATTTGTAACGGTTTATTGCCAAAGTGATTTTCAAAAGTCACAGCATGAGTTTCTGTATTCAGTTTTTCCTTTGGTGTTTTAATATTTAGGGGATGCATTGTTCACATCTTTCCACCTGTGTCTGCTATTAGGTCGATTCAGATGCCGTGCCTGTATTTGAATTCATTTTAATTTGTCCTCAGTATCGGTGAGAATCACGGGTTGTGGCACTGGTTGAAACTGCTTAACCCTCGCTTCCCCACTCCCACTCTTCCCACATCCCCAAACGACTGAACACAGACAAGATTTAAAGAGATAAGCCCTCTTATACCACATCGTGGAATTTATACAAGATTATTTGGCAATGTGATATTTGAGGCTGACAGGCCTGGGTTCATTCACCCACTTCCCTAACTGGTTTCACTGCTCTGCAATGCCCCTTGTCCTCTGATCTTCAGGTTCTTCACTTATAAACCAAAGATGCTAATGAATTCCAGTTTTGCCTGCTCTGAATCACAAATGCTCCCTACCTGCCTGACTGCGCTTTGAAACAGGAGAGTAGATAAAAGAAGCTACAGTGATTCCAGGATTGAGGTGCTGAGAGGATTCATAACCTCTGCAGTTTGCACTTCCTAGGGTGACTGGGGGAAATGGTTCTGCCTGTTGGAACTCAGCCTCTGATTCTCACTGCAACCCCAAAGCAGCAGCCTGAACAGCAGGAGACCACCTAACCCTCTGACCGGAAGTACGGATGTGATCTCTTGTGCATGTTGTTGGGCACAGCGCCTGGCACACTGAAGCACAGAGGCTCAGCAGTCACACCAGAACACAAGTGCTTTGACCAGAAGCTACTCAGAGCCCTAAATTTCCTGAAGGTACTAATGTGACCACTCTAACAATGAAAGATACATCTTGATGAGAAACTAAATTATTTATTTATATGCTTTCCCAATTTTAGTCCTGATAATCTGACAAGAATCTCATAAAAAATGTATACACCCACCCACACACACACACAAACACACACCCACCCACACACACACACACACACACACACACGAGAGAGAGAGAGAGAGAGAGAGAGAGAGAGAGAGAGAGAGAGATTTAAGTGTTCTTATTTTTGAGGCAGGATGTCATATAGCCCATGCTCATCTCAGCCTTGCTGTGTAGCTGAGGATTACGGTGAACTTATATCTTCCTGCCTCCATCTCCAGAGTGCTGAGATTACAGGCATGTTCCAGCACTCCCAGGTTACACAGTACAGTGGAAAGAACCCTAGACTTTGTGCATACTAGGCAAACACTCTGCCAATTGGGCTACAGCACTTGTCCTCGATGTATTTTTAAACGAAGAGAATTCTATCCATTTAGAAAGAGAAATATGATATAATCTTATCTTCCTATACTTGAGGAATGTTGAAGAAACTGTTATCTCTGGGAAACAGAGACAGGGAAAGCAAAGCAGACTTTAAAAATTTGCCAGATTTTATTCTATTTTTAATAAGTGCATTATTTTTGGTAGTCCTTCTAAAAAAATGCTTCACTACCAATGTATTCACTGTCTTCTATTTGCAGACTAGCATAGCTTTAGTTAAGACTGCAGTCTCCATAAGAATACAAGGAATTATAAGAAATTTGATTTTTCAACACCTAATACTTTCATAAAATGCAGTATGAATATATGAGCACACTATTTAAACCGTGGATTATGGAAACAATCCTAATCATTTGATCCAAAACATATATTTCCAAGAAACAAAGGAACCAGACAAAACAGGATAAACATCATCACTAAGGAGAATTTTCTCAAACTTCCCCATTTCCTTTTTAGTCAGTTTTTTTTTGTTTTGAGACAGTGTTTCATATAGCCCAGGCTAGCCTTGAACTTACCAAGTAACTGAGACTGGTCTTGAGATTCTGGTGTGCCTGCCTCTGCCTCAGTCTCCCAAGTACTGGGACCACAAATTTGCACCACAGTGCTCAGCTCTCACATGCCCTTGTAACAAGAATGTTGAAGGGAGCTTACTCAATTCTATATAACTAGAGTGACCATGGGCCTCAGGTCACCGAGGACTACCGGGTGGATCCTGCCATCTTGATACAGTTACTGACAGAGTCACTTCTGTTCTCAGACTTGGTCTTGTTTGGATAAATTGTGAAGTCTCCCTAACATACTGTGGAGTGAACTGATCTCTGTATTATTGCTGAGGAGGTGTCTTATCTCTGAAGACACTATGTTTTCTCCTATAACAATGGCCCTCCTGATCAGGCCCTTGATTTTGATACTTGTCCTGAGTGCGCAGCAAACGACTGCCTCTCCAGGAAGCTTGGCTGCTGAAGATTAGGGACAAAGGAGAGAGAACCAGTGCACTCCTGGTTTTCAGCTAAGCCATCCACTCTGAGATGCAAAATTAACAAAAGTAATGAACTGCTTTATCAAGAACATAATAATTAGTGCAACGTCCTATGTAATATCCTCTCACACCAGGTGGTCAGGGTACGAGGAGGGGAAAACCATTTGTTCCTCTAGCAGGAAACACTGACAGAACATCCACAGAGAACAAGCGGGAAAGCAGGGGGGAGACGGAGGGCTGGACACACCAAGTTCTCGAGCTTCACTCGGTTTGCTGCACACGTCCATCTTTCAAGCACATGAAAAATTCAGGGGCTTATCAGTTCTTAAAAGCTTAGTTCTAGACAATTTTGGCATCATTTTTGTTTTAAGTAATTTGAATGTTGATTCATATCACTAATATGACGAATAAAGTGTTTGTTAATAACTAAAATCCAAAGTGAAAACAAAAATCCTAGGGTGCCTTTGTCTGCTTCTCTGATGTCATACCAGACACATTCCACTTCTCACTTGGTACTACCTACTCTACTTACTTCAATGCAATGGGTGCAGTATCTTAAAGGCCACAGAATGATGTCTCTGTTTTGAAGTTGACCTCTTGTCAGCATCTCAAGATATTACTCTCATTTACAGGAATTCACTTAGCCAGTGAAGCAAGATGTCTGATTTACATGAGCCATGGAGCAGATTAGAAAGAGCTTGTTAAAACAGGCATCCACTGAAGAGGGCATTGGAAAACTGCTGAGAAATCTGCATGAGCTTTATCTGTGATCATCTTAGAATGTTTTAAACTAAAGTTCAGAATGCTTCCTCAATGAAGGGCATGCTTATTTTCTTTCTTACCTGTTTATTGGTTGATGTATCTCTCATCTCCCCTTGGGTTTTCTCACTCCGTATCTGACCTTGAATATTTACAAAGAGGAGGAAGCTTGAAAATGCCTCTTTAGGCTTTATCACTTGAAGAACATTGAAACAAGAAAGGCAGAAAGAATGTTACTCAAATCTGCCATTGTGTAGTTGAGCAAGTTAATGAAGAGTCCTGGAGGTTAGGTTCATTTTCTGTTGCAGGGTGGGGCAATATTTGCCTCTCAGTGCAGAAATTCTTTCCTTTTATGTTTTCACTTGTCATCTCACATCTCTATGATAGTCTCAATTATATTTTTGATGAAGTATAAGCATAAATAACATCTTCCATTTTTCCCACACACTAAGTTTTTTTTTAATTATTCACAATTGAAAAAGATTCATTCTACAGAAAGAAACTTGAATTTGTGTGCTCATTGAAGTTAAATTGCTTTGCTAAGAACCTGGAGCTAGTTGATCAACAAACAAGAACAAAAAGCTGACCTGCTCTAAAGCTCATGTTTTCTGATAAGCATAAATAACATCTTCCATTTTTCCCACACACTAAGTTTTTTTTTAATTATTCACAATTGAAAAAGATTCATTCTACAGAAAGAAACTTGAATTTGTGTGCTCATTGAAGTTAAATTGCTTTGCTAAGAACCTGGAGCTAGCTGATCAACAAACAAGAACAAAAAGCTGACCTGCTCTAAAGCTCATGTTTTCCATAAAGATTAAAAATATAACATTCAAATTCTAATGCAATTTTTAGTACTTTTATGACCTAGTCCTACTTACCTCTAATTTAAGCATTAGACAGATGAATTTGTTTTGATGTCCAAGAAGACTTGAATTCAAATAGGATTAACTGAAAGTGCACAGACACAATGGTATTTTCATACACTACTTAGATGCACACTTATTTTGCTGAAATGAATTCAAGTTCTTTTGTTCCACTTGTTGTTCAGAAGTCCT